TATATATATATAACTACTACTATATATATATATATATATATATATATATAACGCATTGAAATAAATATTCTATGATATAGTCTCAAAAATCGTGAACATAATGAAAGTTATGTTTATAGGACACATGACAGAAACACACGTTCATTGGAGTACCGTGCAATTAATCAGGAATGAAATATCATACCTAAAAACAACAACAAAAAAATAATACTGTACATGCGAGTTCCCACAACAGTAGATAAAGTGATATATCGTCAGTTAAAATGTTGTTGAACTGATAAATAACGAAACGTTTTCGTTATGAATTATACTGATTTAGTTCCACAGATGTCGGTCCTTCCGTGTGTCAGCGGTAGCTTTACGGACTTAAAATGCTAAAATAAGAGGTTCGATTCTTCGAGATGGATAGAGCCCAGAAAGTCCATCTGTAGATTTTCGCTAAAACAACAAGAAGGATACTAAACTTCCATTCTTTTGGCTATCTGAAGTTATTGTTTACAGTTCATATTTCTACACGTATGTCTGTTTAATAACATTCCCGAAGCACTACACGCAGTCGCCACTACTTATAAAATGACAGACTAGAGGGAAGGAAACCAGTCAACAGCACTCACCGCCTACTCTCGTCTGTCTGAATAGTGGGATTTGGTAGTCGCTCTTATAGTACGTGAATAGCCACAAAATGAGCTTTTGTGGTAAAGAGACTCGATCCATGTGTTCTTGGATTCACAGTCCGGGTTAGCTAACCAGTAGGCCGCTCCATGCTCAAATCCTTATGTCTTTCTTATTACACTAACAAGCAAATTTTTATGAAATAATATATTTAATTTTAGTTTGCAATGTATGGCTCACATAACTCTTTTTTTCGATTATGTATTGTTTTAATCCATCAATTTATAAAAGATGTATTATTATTATGTTCATAAAAAAATAACATAAAATTTATATTATAGATTAAATCAATTAGAGTTTTAAAAGTTATTATATAATACAATACGAAATTATTTGTGCATTATTTTCAAACTTATTCATACATTTACCGCAGTTTATTGATTTTACTGTATGAAATATAATTTAAATATATATATATATATATATATATATGCACAAAATATATTATATGAAGAATATTAAGAATTATAATATAATATATGTGAGTTTTACAATAAGAGTTGTGTTTTAATAAATCAGTCCTAAGGATTACTTATACACTAGATGAAGCTCGCCCAATTTGGCATATTTACGTATAGTTTGGTTTGTTACGTGGTTTAAGATATTTTGAAATTCTCTTCAGGAAACATTTTTGTTTTTCTCTACCATAATACTTACCTGTTGAATTAAACAGTTTGTTGATTAGCAAACGATTAGTCTAAGATCTAATATGTGAAAATATTCTAACTTTAAGCAAATAAAATTGTAGCAGCTTGGCATTTGATAAGTAAAATGATGTAACTAGTTATGAACCTGTCGTTATATTCATTGGATAGGTAAACTGTTTATCAATTAGAGTAAAAGTTCTAGAAAACAGTCGTTGACAAAAAATATTAGGTTTATTCTCTCTCTAGACTATGTGCATAATAAAGGTTTTTCTTTAACAAGCAAGTTAACAAGAACTATGGTGATATGCAAGGAGATTGTTTATTATCAGCCTTCAATAGCGATATATAAATCTTCGAAATCTCCAGTACTTAGTTTCCACACAGTCATGGCAACTACCCGTGGTCCAGAAAATCGTTATTTTGTTCTAGTTGCTTCGTTTCTCCGTTCTTTTGAGAGGTAGCGTCTACTTGACTCGTGGGAATGCTTCGGCATAGGATAAATTATCCGGATTAAATTGGTTCATGCTGGAACATTCCTTGCTGGTCGAATATGGTGTAAGTCAAGGAGGGACATCTAATCATTGCTGTCCGAGACTGGGGTTACTAGATATCGCTGTCTCTTGGAAAAAGAAAGTGAGTTTTCATTCTAAGGTCGAGCGCGCGTTCTAAACCTGTTTTCCCACAAGACTTTCAATGATCAATACTTGCTTTTGAGATCAAAGTGTTTAGTCCAATGGAAGACTATCTCGAGAGAAAGAAGGATGAGGGCTTAGATATCATCTAGAGCGAAGGATTGACCACGTGTTTTGGAAAGTATGCGTACACCCAGTTTCCATCCTCTTGAATTTCAACAATAACTCAGTCAGTTTATCTCACTTAGAAAGTTTGCTTAACTCAATGAGTCGAACCTGCTGTTATTCGCAGATTGTTCGAGAAATTAGTTTGATCTGAAAATACCACACTATACGTTTAGGCGCTTCTCCTCTTCAGAAACAAAAAAATATAATAAGTTTCTAAACATAAACAAGCCTAATAGTAAATGCAAAGTAGAACAAAATGTATGTAAGTTTAGGCTATTTGTCAGAAAGCTATACAAGTTTAAAATAATATTTTATTAAATTAGATGACACTTAAGGTAAACTAAAATTAATTGTGAACAGAATACGATTTAAGAATAGATTCCTTTGATTCATCAGTTGGGCGGCTCAGTTACAATATTCCATCACGACACTCCATGTATTAATACACTTCCACGTTCTTAGTCAAGCCTCTATAGTATCTATAGGAACACCATGATACCCCTAGCGTTTCAAGCCTTACATACACACCACGCATTCTTAGTTATTTATTTGCATTTCATCGCTGATGAAAGAAAGAAAGATCGAATTCCATAAACTTTCATACTTTTTCACACTCGAAAGCCAGACATGGTTCGATGGCCAGCGAGTCGGTACTGTAAATTAAAGAGTTCATGGCTCGTGGCATGTTGCCGTAAAAACACACTCCGCATTTTAAGGCCGTTGGTGCCTATAATAGTGACGATCAAATGTCACTATTTCTTCGATAGGAAAAGCTTAAGAGTTGGATGTGTTGCTGTTGGCTAGTTGTACTCTAAATTATCAGCTTAAAATTAAAGATGACTGGGAGAAGATAACCTTTGTGCTGCCTTACACGAACATGATAATACAAACAAACTTTATCTCTCGGTGATAATCATGCTTCCAGGTTGAACTGTTCGGCCAAGCCATAGTAAAGACTGCATATATTACTAAAAATTAACTTCTATAATATATTACTAAACCGAAAGAAATAAATGACGTAGAAAATAGAAAGAAAGAAAAAACAGTTCATATAAAATTAATCCCCAAATTACAAATTGTTAGACAAACTTTTTTTTCGACACATATTTTCTTTTATGTTTGTGCACTTAACTCCCCCTCCAAAAAAATATCCCCTGACTTTTTATATTTAAATTCGCTGTGTATCCTCTGTTAAAATTACGGTTCTTTTGTTTTATGTTGTTAATTCATGTTGCACATGTCATTATTGAGTGGTTATTTAACACGATAATATTTGTTCTTATTTGTGTTACTGTGGTTATTGTGAAAACTAAAAGCAAACACGTTATTATTTTGTTATCTAAAAAAAAACACACACACACAGAAAGGATACAAAAACGTGAAAAGAAAACAAATACAAACGTTTTCGCTCAAACTACGAGAAGAATTTATTGCTTGAAACATCTGTTACAGTAGCGCAGGTTTTGTTTGGTTTTAAACAGTTTTTATGCAATATGTTTTACGTATTACCTATCTTTTTACACATAAAAATATATATTGTAGCCTCACAATTTCCTACAAATAATGCACACAAAAATGCACAAGAATAATTTAATGCTCACCTTGACAAATTATAGGAAGTCATATCTAGTTAGTTATCAAAAAGACGGCATGGAGACATAATTTCCTATAATGAATTTCTATGCCAATATTTTTTCCTGAAATGGATCTGTGAAGATTTAGAATATCAAAATCACTCAGAATATTTTATCATTAGCTATTCCTGTACTTATTTCCTTTGAAGCTTGTTGATCGTCGTTATGTCAAAGAAAACGAG